GAGAACAACATGAAAACGATCTACTGCTTCAGTTAGAATGTGACCAGAACAATAAAAAAGAAAAATCTGAACTACTTGAAGAAAAAAATACTCTAAATAAACCAGCATCTAGCGAAACTCTTCAAGCTCCAACAGGAGAAAATCCAGACAGAATGAAATTGACTCAAAAAACAGCAGACATAAACAGTGGGGAAAATGAAGACAAGCGAAGCGAGAAACCTGAAAACGAGGCAGCGGTTGAGTTAGAACGTGATCAGGACGATGAGGCTCATACAATAGAAAAATGTGAAGACAAACTTGTTTCAACTGTTCACGTTCAACGCCAGGACAATGAATATATTCAATTCAAGGAACTGAAAAATACACCCACAAAGAGCGTAGATTTTGCGGTTCAGCTTAGCTCTAATGAAACTCTTCAGGTCCAAACAGGAACCGATCTAGACAACATTGCTGGGACTCCTAGAGCATCAAATGTCAACAAACGCGAAGATAAGAAGAAGCGAAGCAGCGGAGAAGAAAAAGGCGCATGTTGTCAGGACAAAGACACAGGAAAAACTAAAGAAGTTGCAAACATGAAGCCAGATATGGGACGAAAATCACCTACAATGAGCAACGATTTTTCAGAGGTAAAAGATCGAGATGAACTAAATGGAGATGAAACAGAAAGTGAAGTCTCAACTAACGAATGGATGTATCAGGATCTGGAGACACTGTTCAAAAAGATAATTGTGATGATTAAAAGTAATCCGCATACAGTTAGTCGACTTACAGACGTTATTAGCAATTTAATAAGTGGTCACGAAGCAATTAATCTGCAGTCTTCTCATGAGTACAACGTTATTGAAAATGATAACACATATGCGAATATTATGAATGACCTTCTCTTCCTAGATTGTGAATTTGGAAACCAAAAAGAGGAAAGCGTATTAATTGCACCTGAGGACCGTAACCTTGCAATATTGGAATATTTTGTTTTCCAACTGTTCAGAGCTCAAAAGTTGGCAAAATCGCCAGCAACTTTAAAACTTCATGCCAGATTATATATATCCATAATTGACGTTATTCTTGCATTTCTACAAGACATTCCAAAACCAGAACAATGGCATAAATCCCAAACGCCTTCTAGTGAAGTTCAGCTTAGCTCCAACGAAACTCTTCAAGTTCACACAGGAACAGATCTAGACAACATTGCATGGACTCATAAAGCATCAAATGTCAACAAAGGCGAAGATAAGAAGAAACAAAGCAGCGGAGAACCAAAAGGCCCATACTGCCAAGAAAAAGGCACAGGAAAAACTAAAGAAATTGCAGACATGCAGCCAGATATGGGACGAAAATCACCTGCATTCAGCAGCGATTCTTCAGATGTAAAAGATCGAGATGAAATGATTGAAACAGAAAGTGAAGTCCCAAGTACCGAAATGGTGTATGAAGCGCTGGAAAAACTGTTGAAACCTTTAATTACGGGGGTTGAAAGTAATCCGTATACAATTAGTCGACTTAAATTCGTTATTA